CTTAATTGGCTGCTTACTATATGCCTGGAGGCTATCTGTCTTTAAAAGCATATTCTCTAACTTCTGCCCTTTCTCAAAGGCAACAGACTCTTGTCAAAATCCATCTCAGAGAAGGAAACCCTATGTAAATCTCTACGTGTAATATAAACGATGTGACCTAATTGATCAGATTAAGATGTTCATATTACTAAGCAGGACTCTGCCGTCAATAAATGCTCAATATACTTCACTAGGTACTTCCTAAAAGAGGAGACCCAGGAGAACAGAAACCCTTTGCAAGCTGGGTGAAGAACATGAGAAGTGCCTAAGATGACGCACAGGGATCAAGTACATTAGTGGGTTCAAAGACTATCATGCAACTCCCACCCCACGTTTCCCTCAGTTCTGCTCTGACAATGAAACCCAGACAACTAACACCTTTGTGAGATGTAATCTAAGGGGTCGGGATGCAGCTCAGGATTTGGCTAGAGACTGAAAATGCCTCAACCTGCCCTCCAAAGCCTCGAGAAAGGAACCAGCCTGCAGGCAGCAGCCCAGCTGTGCTCCAGAAGGGCGTCCCATAAGGACAATGCTCTCCACCATCAGCTATGCAGCTGGGGGTTCCAACTGAAGCGTAGACAAACCACAGTCACAGCAAACCAAGCAAAAGTATCACTCTGCAAACCAGGACCCGGCTTCCGAATGCCGGCGGAGTTTAGGAATACTTCTCTGAGACCAGCAGCCCCGCATCATCCCAAGGAGGATGCAGTCGAGGTGCTATCAGAGTTCAGAGCATTTAATGAATCATCTCTGGGGAGCAATCCAGTGAAAGAAGCCTCTACAGAGAGTGCTCCACCAGAGGCACTCCTGATGAAACAATGCTCAGACCATGGGCCTCCATCTAGTGCACACTTTACCTGAGAGCCCGAGCCCATCTACCAGCACCACCACAAGTACCACTGGTCACATGATGGAGTAATTAAGGCCGAGGTCAGATTGTGTTTTTACTTCACCGTGCCAAGAACGTGAAAAGGCGACTTCCAAAGTCTCTAGTGTCAGATCATGTTTAAAGTTAAGTCTCATCAAAAGGTCCCCTAGCCCATCTACCGGCATCACTGTAAGTACCACTGGTAGCATGATGGAGTAATTAAGGCTGAGGTCAGATGCCAAAAAACCAAGTAACCTTAAAACCAGGCAGAGTGGAGCGGTACTTCTGCCTCCTAGATCACCCGAGAAAGGAGGCCTCTTCATTTCACTCTGCCTCACATCTATCTGTAAGGGGAGTCCTTGACACCAAACTCACGTAGTCCAATATATTCAAGGTTCTCCCCACTTCCCGGCACCCTTTCTACCCATTTTTCTCACCTTCATTTCATTCCTAACCAACTTAGTTTTCGGTTCTCTGCCACCTTTTCTGTCCAAACTCCCAAATCTCCTCTACCCTCCTGTCCCCAGGCCAAACCGCCCCCGCCCCACCATGTTGACCATCTGGGATTCTAACGTGTGTGTATGTATGTGTATGTGTGTGTGTGTGTGTGTACTGACAAAGAGAGACAAGAAGCCGAGTTGTTAGGTTGAAATGGAAAAATTAAACAACTGAATGTGGCTCTTTACTGTCGCTAATGTACTATTTGCACAACACATGACTATGTCCTAGTAATACGTTC